AGTAGTAGTAGTAGTAGTAGTAGTAGTAGTAGTAGTAGTAGTAGTAGTATCATCATCACCAGTAGCAGGAGCGGCAGCAGCAGCAGCAGCACAACCATCACCATCACTGCCACCACCATCAAAATTACAACCATTATCAGCAGTAGTAACATAAAGAGTTAAATATTTGCTCAGCCACCATAACGCGTCAGATACAGTACTGCGTAACCTGACACAACGCCTTATTTCATTTTTTGGCGCTAAATATTTTTGTTTGCCATGTCGTAACCCCTATCAGTTACCCTACTTTGTGTGGAAAAAATCAAAGTGAAAGTGCGACTATTGAATAAATTAGAATTGAAATTTCAGAAGAACGCCTTTTTTAAATAGCTTCTCTGACAAAAGCCTCTTTATCTCGAAACTCCTATAAAAAAAAAGACTTAGTCAGATTCCGGCAGAGTTGCGTTCGAACCCAGCCTCATAAGAGCGGACGATAAAAAAGAACATTTCCCCACATTCTATTTTCTTCTTTTACTGGTATTTTTTCTGGGCAGTAAATCAAAAGAGGATGAAATAAATGGCCTCTAACTAGCTGCCATGTTGCACACATACGTACACGAGACTGAAATGGTAGATTGAAACCAACAGGTCGACCAGACAAGGGAAGTCACTGTAAAGAAGAGCGAGCCTCTAAATGGAAGAGATCTTGGCCATTTTTTCGTACCTGACACTCTGCCAAACATCATCAGTTTCATTTTTTAACACCTCTTTCGACACTGTGAGGATATTAAAGAGGCGGTACCTCCGAATTTAACTTCAAAATGGAGTAGATATCTTAAAAACTCCCCAAAATAACCTATGTTCAGAATGCCAAGTTGGGTATTCAAACAAGAGCCATCCACTTTTTTGTTCAGCGTGATGAAAACTGGGCCTACTGTCAGTCTTTCATTTTTTTGGGTTATTCTGAGACTCCCCTCATTTGTGGGTAGGAGAGAAGGGGGTTCGGCAGAGGAATATAGAGGAAAATGATGAAGGGGAGGGGGTAGGGCAGAGGAGAGGGTGGAGGGGGGGATAGCTGCTAGGGGCTGCCATTTTCCCCGTTTGTCTATTCTGAATTAGACTCTCCTCAAGCTTCCCTGCTTTTCCCCAGACACCTTGCCTCAACCACTCACAGACGCCCACAACACACATCCCATTCTATTCTCTCCACTGAAGCGAGAAGATCTCAGAGACACTAATATCCACCCTGACCACTCACCCTGACCACTCAGTCTGACCACTCACGCGTGTGCTCATAGTTGCATTTCGATGCACGCGTTAATTGAGCCCATTGCGAAAAGAGGCCATGCCTTGATCATTCTTTCGGTTTTGGTAGTCGCCGCCGAACTTTGCAGGTATCGCTGAAAACTTATTTCCCTTTTCCCTTACAATTTTTCCCGGCCGCTTTTATTTTACAGCGTCGAGGTGGAAAAGAAAACGTCTGTCTTTTGTTTGTTGTATCGCCAGTTGCATGGTTATATTGTTTTAGCGCAATGTTTCTCTTACCTCTTCTATGTTCTATATTTTCCAAGGACTGCCTCTTTCTCTATGCCCAACTTAAAAAACGATCTTTTCAGAAATGGAGATAGGAAAGCGCTTTTTGCTAAGTAAGCACGCGTGAGAGTTTGGGTAAATAAACCTCTTTATAATTATGTTTTGAGTGTTTATATATAAATAATTTATATGTATGTATGTATGTATGTATGTATGTATGTATGTATGTATGTATGTATGTAT